AAAATTATCTACTCACCTGACTCGAAAGCAAACAGAAATCAAAAGCAGATACCGAAAAAAATCCTACTAACGTCCTGCTAGTAGAATATTAGGATTATCTAAATACAAAGAAAACATATTCAAGAATGACTCAAAAGAATATATAACCTATTTAATACACTTAACTAAGGGTCTATTCCATAACCCTATATGTTTTTAGACTAAACTAGTTATTTTTTTAAAAACCCAAAAATTAATGGTTTTTCAGAAATCTAATCCATAATAAAACAAGTAATAAAATTGGTAATAATTTACTAAATAAACCTAAATTATTCATCAAACCAATCTGCAAAAGCTAATATCATAGCTAGGGACTAATATGGAATTTATCATATTTTTAGAGCCAAATTATAATTTTCGTCTAATTGGAGGATCAAACTAAACATATCTTAAATTCATGACTATAGTGGAATTATGTTCAGAATTCATCCTCACTTCTATCCAGAACCTCTAATTATGCTCCAAGGACCATTCTGGAATTTTTCCAAATTTGTAGGGTCAAATTATAATTTTGGTTAAATGGAGGACCAAACTAAAATTTGTCATGAATCCATGAATATGCTGAAATTATGTTCATAATTAATCCTAAATTCTGTCCAGAATATCTCGTTATACTCCAGGGACCATTCTGGAATTTTACCAAATTTTTAGGGTCAAATGGTAATTTTTGTCAAATTGGAGGACCAAATTGAAAGTTTTAAAATTTCATAACTATACAGTATTTCTGCCCATAATTCATATGTTATTCTTTTCAGAATATCAGAATAGGCTCCAGGGACCAATATGTAAATTTTCCAAAGTTTGGGGACTAAACTGTAATTTTCCAAAATTGAGGGACCAAATTGAATTTTCATCATCTTCAACCTCCAACCCAGAATTTCAACAGAAAACCCACTGTTCTTTCCTTATTTCTAACTCAATTTTACTAGTCAAACAAAATCATAACTCAAATTATCATCTTTCGATTCAATCTCTTAAAATCAACCAATTAATCCATTACCCATAACAATCAATCTATAACATTCAATTAATTCATCAATCAAACCCAAAACATAAATTTTTCAAACCCTAACATTCATCAAAACTGAAATTAAAAGCTCAATAACACATATTTATACATTTAACAACCTAAATTTTACCTTTAAACTTATTTCTCTCAACTCCTTTCTATTTCCCTTCTAATTTCTCTCATTTCTCTTCTTCTTCTTTCTCCCGTCTCTCTCCTGCCAATTCTCTCTCCAATTTTCAGATCCCACTTTTTTTTTTTTATTTATATTTATTATGTTTATCTATTTACCATACTACCTCTCATTCATTTATACCCATTCTTTAAGCCATCAAGGGCTTTGTAGCCTTTTTCTATGTTTTTATATTCAAAACATTACACCCTTTGTATTTCATGTAAACCGTTGGACTTCAGAAAAAGCAGGAAAAACTGCTGTTGAAAAATTAGCTTTAGAAAGTAGTAAAAATAAATTATTTATAGATTAAACAATAAGGATGCCAACAAGTTTTGTCAAAAACAATTTTTTTTCCACTATATAGAAGATATAATATGAATTAGGATTGTAAAATTATAATTAAAATTTTTTAGCTAATTATATATTAATAATTCCAGCCAAATAATAAATTAATAATAATACATACAAAATTGAAACAAAAATAAAATTAAAAAAATTAAAGCGCTTTAAAATATACAAAAAGCTAAAAATTACAGGTTAAATGGTTAATTAGTTTCTGGAAAACCCAAACTAGTTGATTGATTACTCATAAAAAACCAAGAAAACCACTCATTTTATACTTTTAATGAACTTGTAAACTCAGTCTGATTTTACTGATTTTATCAATTGTGCACGAGTCAAATTCAATTTTATTGGTTTTTAAGCTTTTAGTTTGATTTTACATATTAGATATAATTAACTTATTACTTTACGATTCAATTTGTGATTTTAACAAAAATAGATGCAAATTTATAGGTTAGTGGATGAAATGTTCACAATCAGCTAAAGCTTTCTTCATGCGTGATCACTTGTGTAGGACTCTTATAGCCAACATCTCTGCGTCGTGCTCGAATCATGGTAAGTTTGGCATTTCCCTGTCATGTTTTATGTTGATTTATGATGAGGCAGAGGAACAGAAAAGATCTGAAATCTAAAGACATGACATGACTGTAGAATTATAGGATTCATGTTAGGATGCTGGCATGCAAAGCCGACAAGACAAAAGGCAAGGAATAGGATAAAATGAGAAATGAGACACACAAGAATTTACATGGTTCACCCAATTTGGGCTACGTCCACAAGCAAGTATAGAAGGATTTTATTAAGTAATATAAGAATTACAACCTCTCTCAAGTAATAGGAGAACAACTAAAATCTCTGTATTACTAGGAAAAAACACCTCACTTATTCTCTCACAAATACCTCACAATTTTGTGGGATTACTCCCTTTTCACTCTACTCTTCTTTTCTCTTCTTTGGTGTGAATAATAAGCTTTGAGGCATTGCCTATTTATAGGAAGAGTGAGGGGACAAAGGTCATAAATTATGGTATAAATTATCCCACCAACGCATCCCCACTAATTTTTGTCTTCCATTAATACTCCACTAATTTTTATCTTCCACTAATTAATGGATATACTTAATTTAATTAAGTATTAGTCATACATTCTCCCACTTGAAGACTTTGATGATTTAATCAAGTCTTCACACATGATCATCTATGATTCTTCTATCCTTTCTATACTTGTCATCTTCATGCTGCTTACATTTCTGCTAGACCATAAGAGGATCTGCACCATATATACTTATCAGTATTGATCGGTTTTGTCAAAGCATCTGCTGGGTTTTCTTTTGTATGAACCTTCTGAAAATCCACACTTCCATCTTCTACCACTTCGCGAACAAAGTGATACTGAACATCTATGTGTTTTATTCTTGAATGAAACGCTGGATTCCTTGCAATATGCAAGGCACTTTGACTATCACAATACAAAAGAAGATTCTTTTGTTTGTGCCCGAGCTCCTCCATAAGTTTCTTCATCCATATTGCTTTTTTACAAG